TATTGTCACACAAGCGTTCTACAATGCATTTACTAGAATCAAAGATGACACGGTTACCTCTATCGCACAATTGGCTAATGCTAAGAAGATTGTGCTTGAGGCCCTCAACAAGAAGAACGTTCTCAACGGTTGTAGCATTGTCTCTCCCGACGGTGCCACTTCCAATGATTCTTCCCTTGTTGTTGTCACCAAAAATGACATTGCCACCTTTGAAATACTCTAAACTCCTAAATTTGGATGCGTCTCCGGTCATGTGCTTGGAGCATCCGCTATCGAGATACCAAGAGGTACTCGAAGCCTTCAAGCACACCTACAAAAAGATATCAAGGAGACGGTTTAGGTACCCATGTATTGTTGGGTTCTTTTTGGTTAGCATATGTGTGATGTGTGTGCGTTTGTTGGAAATGCCTAATTTTGGTGAAGCACACGGGTGCAATGTGACATATCTTATTGCAATAGTGGCAAATACCATTTGGATTATTCATCCTATATGGTTGAGTGTAATGAGTTCTAGGTTTGCTAGGATGTGCTCTTCTAGTTTGATTATTTATCCCAGCATTTTTATTCCCCCTAGCTTTAACAAATGTTGTTTTTCTAGGTTGGTTTTTCTTATATCCAAGTCCTTCACCATTACTAACTTTTTGCTTAAGTATTTTATCTAAGGTGTTTGAAGCATTATTAAACTTTCCCAATTTGCTCTCTAAACTAGCAACCTTAGCTTTCAGTGATGTACAACTAGAGCATGTAGTAGATGAAGTAGATGAAGGTTCTTGTGGCCTTTTTCCAAAAGAGATAATTTCTTGTTTAAGTTTATCATTTATATTTTTGAGTTCTTTGATATCATTCTCAAAAATCGGGATTTTTGCTTTATTTCATTGTTTTCTTTGGAAGCCTTTTTGAACATTCCTACTAAATCTTCTACAATGCAAACAACATCATTAAGAGTTAAAGGATCATTGGGAGAAGGTTCTTGATCACTTACCTCTTTTGATGAATCACCATCTTCAATGGCCATGAGACATAAGTTGGCCACTTCCTCCGTTTCCGAGTCTTCACTCCCGGAGCCGTCGTTCTCCCAAGAAATGTAGGCACGTTGCTTTTTCGGTGCCCTCTTGTCCTTCACGTTCTTGAGCTTTGGGCACATTGGTTTGATGTGTCCAATTTCACTACACCCATAGCACTTGGGTGGAGTGTTCTTCTTGGCTCCCTTACTGAGCATCATCTTCTTGAATTTTCGAACAAAGAGTCTGAGATCGGTGTCGTCGCTGTCATCATCTTCATCATCAACGTTGTCGTGAGTTGATGTTGTTGCGGGTAGAGCAATAGACCTCTTGTTCTTCTCTTCAATCACCTTTGAGAGTTGGGTGGTTTCGTAGGTAATAAGATTACCTTGAAGAGCATCATAGGTCGTTGTTTGGAAGTCACGACCTTCTTCGATTGCGTCCACCTTTGAATGCCATTTGGGGGATAGGCTTCGCAGCACCTTTCTCACGAGCTCTCGGTCGGTGTAGGTCTTCCCGAGAAGATTGAGAGGATTAATGATGTTAGAGAACCTCTCATACATTTCCTCAATCTTCTCGTTTTCCTTCATTGAGAAGAGTTCGTACTCGTGAGAAAGATGGTCGATTTTGGCCTCCCGAACCTGCGCGGTTCCTTCGTAGGTGACCTCCAATTTTTCCCACATTTGTTTTGCGGTCTCACACCGCGAGATTTTGCGGTAGTCATCTGCGTTAACACCGCAATAAATCATGTTTATTGCCTTTGCGTTGAGCTCCATCTTTTTGCAGTCTTCGTCGGTGAACTCCTCTTCGGTTTTGGGAACGTTAACTTCACCGACTTTCTTCATCAGAACTCCGCAGCCGTTCTTCACAATCAACCACAGCTTGTAGTCGTTGGGTTGGATAAAGATTCTCATCCTCTCCTTCCAATACGAGTAGTTTGTTCCATCAAACAAAGGTGGCCTCGTGGTTGATTGTCCCTCGGTCACTCCTGCGTTGAACATCCTTGATGCCATTTGATCTTTTAGTTCCTGAAAAATAACGTATTCGAAGAACTTCCTGCTCCGGTACCAATTGTTAGACAAATGTGCAACTCTAGAGGGGGGTGAATAGAGTTGTTTTCAAGAATGTGCGTTTTTTGCGTGTGTGAAAGAATAAAATCATAGTAATAAATAAAGAGAGTAAGGGAAAGAAGAACACCGAGATTTATACTGGTTCACCACCTCGTGGCTAGTCCAGTCATCCGAGAGACTCTCTCGAAAGTCCTACTAATCTTCAAGCTTCAACGGGTGCTTGAAAAACCGGTACAACTTGAGAACTTGAATCACACAAGCCTCACTTTTTTACAACAACAAGACTTGAGTCACACAAGTCTTAAGAACAACACACAAATGAGATTGAGTTTACAACACAAGAATGAAGGCTCACACAATTTGAGCAAGAAGTGTTGAAATATGAAAGCTCTATGGATGACAAAATCTTTAGCACTCAATAAAATATTTCTAACTCTCAAAATAATAAATTTGATGAGGAAGATGGAAGCAAGAATTGAATATTGATCAATGAAGATATTGGAGTGCAAGAGATGTATTTTTAATGAAGGAGGATGAGTGTTTTTATAGGGAGAAAAGAAATAAATCCGTTGGGAGTAGGGAAGGCTGAATTTGACAGATAAAAGTCGTTGGGGATCGATCCAAGGGTGAGGATCGATCACCTGGAGTAATGGATCGAAAAAGAAATTTCTGTCAAAGCTTCGGGGGATCGATCCAAGGAAAAGGATCGATCCAAAGGAACCAAAAATCCGGAAAAGAATTTTTGCAAGCCTTCGGCGGATCGATCCAAGGAAATGGATCGATCCAAATCCCTGAACACAAAAACACGATGATCGATCCTAACAAATGGATCGATCCATCTACGAACAGCCCTAAAAAAAGAGGACCCAAGACATGTGTGCGAGTGGGATGATATTTGGAGCTTAATGTTTTGTTTTAGACAACAAATTGAGTGTGATAAGGCTCCCATAAACAAACAAATCAAATGGGTTGAAAGGGAATTAATTCAAATTCAAAATTTGAATTAAATATTTGAATTTTGGTGTAGAAATTGAGTCCCAAAAATATTTTGTGTGTCAAACGATGTACAAGAAAAATCTTTAAAGTATATTTTTCTTACCACAAAAAATTTGTGTATCCTTAAAAAGTATTTTAAAGAAATTTTGACACACTATTTTGAAACTGACTCAGTAGAATATTTTTAGACAGAGAAAAAATAATTTTTCAACTGACTCAAGAAATAATCATTTTTATCCCTCAAAAATAATTTGTTTATGCAAAAATTACTGTCATCCTTACAAGAATTCCTAGACTCAATAAAAATTAAAAAGTCTTCGGAGTCTTCACTTCACTTCAAAAAAAATCTGCGTAGGGGTGAGCGTTGATTTTTATTGCAGAAAACTTCTTGATACCCTTCTTTGCTTTTCTTGATACGAAAATAAATTTTCGATTATCGATTGAATTTAATCATCCTGTTTGTCATTCATCAAAACAAAAAAAATTCCAGAAAAATAATAAAGGGGTTTGGACTCATGTCCAACAGTACAAACATCTTTAGAGAAAGAATCACTGACTCTCCAGTTTGGAAACGCATTGCTAGGATACACCCCGTAGCCTCGGAGCTCTCTTCAATGAACAATGGAAGGTTATTATGGGAGGGTGGGGATTTTACTCTAAAATCAGCTTACCTCAGCACAATTCCAGCCACGTCATATCAACTTTCATGCAAGTTCATTTGGCACAAACTGCAGGTTCCTAACATCAAGTTTTTTCTCTGGAAAATCTTCCACAATTCCCTACCTTTTACTCCAAATCTCCGCAGCCTATTAATTCCAGTAAGAGGTCTTTGCCCTCTTTGCAAGCAAGCAGAAGATGGTCTTGATCACTCCCTCCTCCAATGCCCTTTCTCCACAAACATATGGACTGTTTTTAGCCACAAACATGGAGGCCCCCTACCCAGGAAGGAACTCACCATAACGCAGCACCTACTTGCTTGGTGGTATGGAGCTAAAGGCCAATCTTTCCAAAGTCAGCTTCATATGGTTCTTCCGGGTTTTATAGCATGGACGCTTTGGAAATGCAACAATTCTGCCCTTTACGACAGTAAGGCGCCTTCCCTTCTAGGTGTGGATAAATCAGTATCTAATCTCATCCAAAAATGGTGTTTGATCAATCGGAACAAAAATGGATGACCAAAGCAAAAGAGAATTCCGACTTGGATTGGAACTTTTTCTGGCTCAACAGAAATAGGCTTCAAGAGGGGATACTTTAGTTTTTCATTTGGTCCTTTTTCTGTTTCTTTTATCTGTTGGGGCTTTGGTCTAGTCCTCCCCGACCGAGTTGTACTATGTTTCTCCTTCTTGAATAAACCTCTTTATATATATATATATATATATATATATATATATATATATATATATATATATATAAAATTAAAAGGATTTTATTCAAAGAAGAGGAAAGCACATAAAGTGGGGGTGGCCAACCCCTACAAAGGGCCAAAGCAGAAAAGAAAGTGCAAAACCAAAGGAAAAATTAAAAAGGAACACAACAAACGGATAGGGAACAAAGCTCAATAGACATCCCACTGCTTCCTCTTGACCCATAGCTCACAGCAAAAACTGGCAGTGAATAGGGCGAAGCCTACTGTCCCAGTAGCTAAAGATTCTAGCAAAGTGAAGCAACAGGTGGTAGCCTCCAAGAGAAGTTTTGTGTATAGAATATCAAAGCACTAGTGAAAACCCTCAATAATTCTTCAAGCTTGTTACAGGACTATGTGTAACACGCAGCCCCATGACCAAATACCCGGCTATATCAAGAGGAGACTTCAAAATCACCATTATTCCATGCAACCCTGCAAGCGCATGCCAAAACAATGGCAATTCCCAAGGAGAGCACCTTCCATGTTAACCATTCAAAAGCCTTTAAAAAAAACCCAAGTGCACTCTAGTAGCATTCAAGGCAACCAATAAGCTAAAACAAAGCAATGACCAGAACATAACAGAGACAAAACCAAGCCAAGACCAAGAGCATGAATCTAAACTAGAGTAACCAGCAGTGTAGTCTCCTAACACAGCTATGCTAGCACACCCGGGAATGCAAATATCACTAAAACTGCAGGACAATCAATAAGCATATTCAATCTCATCCTCAAAACCGTAGTCGGAGATATGAGAGTGCTTCTTTTTCTTCTTCATCTTCTTTTTTTGAGTTTTGGTTAGAGGTTTGCTAATCGGTTTAGGAGCTTCGATCTTGTGAGGACAACAAAGTTTGAAGAATTTGATAACCTCGACTTCATGTGATTCTTGGGGATCCAACAAGTCTTCTTCTTCTATCCACCCAATAGGATTAAGTTTCCTTCCTTGCTCAAGGATTTTAGCCCTACTCCTCGTAACAATTTGTGACGGTGAGTACGTCCTTCTGCCCTTTAGTTCCTTACGTAGATGGAGAGGGTGTTTGGAGCATCTAGAAAGGTCAATTTGCAGAGGTTTGAGTTTAGTATCTATGAACACAGAATCCTCCTCATCGGAGTGGGTATAGAGAATGGGTCCATCCCTATCCTTAGCGTGGTCTTCAACTACGTTGAGGGAAAGAATCAAGTTGTGACCATTTAGATTTGAAAAGGGGTCTTCTTCCGGCTCTGTAATAGCTTCTGTCCCTTGTTCCTGAGTGAAAGGCACAAAGGCAGGAGCAGAAGGTCTAAGGATTTTCTGAGGTAGAGGTGGGAACCCTTCGGCTTGACTGGTGGATAGGCTATAGTTAGGGGATGCTTCTGGCTGGAAAATAACAAGTTGCTTGTCAGATTCAGCGGAGGTGGGATCTCCAACTAGGCCCTTGGGACTTGAGACAACTCCACTGTACGTTGGGTAACAGTCTGCCCTGTGTCTACGGGTGAAACTTCAATTCCAAAGGGGGAACGTTGTAGTGAAACCTGAGGTTCCACTGACACACTCACCCTTGACCTTACCTCAAGATTGGCAGCTCTCTTGGTGAAAATCGAGAGGGCCTTAGTGAAAAGTTTTGGGCCATCAGCAGTTGAGTCGAATGGGATAATTAGGAATGTACTGCCCTCTCTTCTAATCTCTTGGATTTTCACAAATTTACCCCATTTATTGGAACCAATGGAAAGGTATATGGTTCTATTGTCCTCAAACTTGGACACTGCCCTACAGTTAAGCTTTGAGAAAAATGGAAGAGAGCCCAGGATCTAATTAATCGTGTCCAAATCAAACCAGATGTGATACCTTCTAGCTCCGAAATCAGAAATGCAGAAGTTGTGATTGTAGAAGGAGTAAAAGAGCTCAAATACCTTGTTATGTGTTTGGAATTTGAATCTGATGGTTCGGGTGGTTGCTGTTGACGACTCTTGAATTCCATTGAAGCAGAATCTCGAGTCACTGTAGACATACTGGTCATGCTTCTCCTTAGTGAAGGGGTCTTTGAAGGGCCATCTGGGCTTCGGAAAACAGTGAAAGCTGCGTTTCCTTTGCAATCCATCGCATCGGGCATGGGTTCTAGTATATCTTGCACGATTACTGTAGTTTGTCCGAAGATTAGGTTTGCCGATGAAAGAAATGGATGGCCGCCGAGCTTGATGGGAGGAGTACTGGAGATTACCATTGATTCCGATGTTGAGGCGCCGGTGATTGAAGTCGTCAAGAAAACGCCGTTCGCCGCTCCTCTTCTCTCTAGAAATGCCATCTATATCATATATATATATATATATATATATATATATATATATATATATATATATATATATATATATATATATATATATAGCAACCTTTTTGAAATGTCCACAAACCTAGCAAGAGATTGTCTTTCACATTCGATTGCTCCCAAAGAGTCCGAAAGGGGCATAAACAGGGGCGGACCCAGAACATTTGAACCATGGGGTCGCAATTTTGAAAATTTATATCCAATCAATCATCACATTTCTAACAGTAAATAAACAGCATTCTATAATACATAACATTAAAGTTTTTATATATTATTGAAAATAATAACTAAAAATAATTCTACATTGCAAATGTGAAATACATCTTACAATTGATAACGTCTAGTTTTCATATTTTTAAAGTAATTTATTATTAAATCATTACTAAAGATGATGAAACATTTGAATTCAAATTTGAAAATACTTATTAAAAATAGTTCTACATTATAAATGTGAAATACATCTTACAATTGATAACTTCTAGTTTTCATATTTTGAAAGTGATTTATTATTTTATCATTGATGAAGATGATGAAACATTTGAATTCAAATTTGATGTTTCCAATTTGAATTCAAATTTGAAAACAAGAAAAAGAAAAAGAAAAAAAAAGAAAAAAAACATTGTACTAAAGTGAAATATTTTCAACCTCCACTAGGATTTGAACCCAAGACCGCCCAGTTGCCCAGCCCATTACAAAACACAGGGCTTCCACTCCTCCAACGCATACAACTTCTAATATATATATATATATATATATATATATATATATATATATATATATATATACATACATACTAAAAAAATTTAAAATTTTTGTGGGGTCGCTTGACCCTGTTTGACCCAACGTGGGTCTGCCCCTAGGCATAAGTCATATATGAGTTCAAGAAATCCTTTTTTACTTAGTGGGTTCACGCCAGTTTGGGTTAAGAAAGCCAATAAATAACAATGTGAGGTTGTTTTGAATGGTACGGTTGGTAGTTATCATGGATTAAAAGGTTCTTTATACCATAAACACCTCCCTCAACAATATGATTTTTATAGCATTCATTGCAAGGTTTCTTTAGTTGACAATGAATTCTCGTACCAAGTACATGAGAAAATTTGAACTTGATTCACTTCCATTGACTCTCTTATTGTTCAAAAGTACATATTTTTTTACGTCCATATGCTATGGATGATTTTTGTTTGTATTATTATTAACCATGGTGTGTGTTATGATGTATCAAAAATTTTTTTGTATAAGTAAACACTAAATTGACAGTGTATCATATTTATATGTATGATAAAATCAAATGAAAACCCAAAAAAATAATTCAAATAATATAATAGACAATTTGAAAAAAAATACACCTCATCATCATGAAAAACAGCCTTCATGATGCTCCATTTCTACCAAATGAAGCAACTTGATACACACGAACTGTCCGAACATGAATGGCAAGGGAGTGATTGCTCCTTTCAATATTAACAAGTCTGGTCCATAAAAAATTGGAAACCTGTTGGGAAGCCATTTCTTATGAAAAAGGAGAGATATTTGATTATTATTTTTTGGTTATTTAAATAGATGGATGAGGCGAGGATTGAATATAAAAGAGACAAAGAGTGTTTTTTGCTTTTTAAACACCCAAGGTGACATCGTCCATTGGCCGTTCCATTTAATATCGAAGTGAGATTTTCTCCAAAAATGACTAATATGTCCAGCGTACCCAAACAGAGAGACCCGACCTAGTATTGTATCTGAATTTTTTGGGCGAGAGTTTTTCCTGTTTTTCCTAGAAAATTACTCACAGGTGACGCGGATTTTGTCGAAATAACTCTCAGGTCTTTCTATTTTCAAAAACGCAACAGAGGTCCTTATATTTTGTTCTCATGACATTCCACCCAATATTTCATCCAAAAACGTTAATAAATATATTCTTTCCTATTTTTTTCTAAATATTTTAATGCAATAAATCTTAAGTATCTCATTTTTTTATTTCTTTGTTTTTCTTTTCTTGTTACTCTTTTTTAAAGTGTTATTTTAGAAATTCTTCTATAAAATCGTATAAAAATTCAAAATTGTTTGTATTATATTAAAATAAATAAAATTTAAAAATTTTCGAAAAAAGAAAATAATCTTTGTATAGTAAAAGATTCGCCGTGTGAGTGGTACCTTTGGTTTTGGGAGAAGCTGATGGATAAACATTGGCCATAAACTTGGGTTTCTAGACGATTGGCCGAATCCGTCGGGGGTGGTTTCCCTCACTTGGAAAAACCACAAACATTAATTCCTCAAGTGGAATCCTTAATTCCCTACTTGGAAAATTGAATGTACTACATGCAAAAGTGTTTTTTTTTAAATTTTTTTTAAAAATGTCCAATTGCAAGTTAAAAATGTCCAATTGCTAGTTTGACTACGTGTAAAAATAAAAAAGTGTCAAATTGTAATTGACTTTCAATTTTGTATTTCATGTGATAGATAAATTATTAAAAAAAAGTATGATGTTAAAGATGGGATATAAAACAATAATGATAAAAATGGTTTTTTAATAACAATATAATTGTTTTGTTAAAAATAGAAAAAATAAAAGATGAAATATTTTTTAGAACGGAGGAAGTAACATATATATGTATGTATGTATATCATGGTGTAAATATAGAAAAATAATAATGGAGATTTATATCGATGAGATTTATCCCGTTTATGTTATTGGATTTCAAAACATATTTCATTTAGGCCCAAGGTTCATCAATAATTTATCTTAATCCAAACAATTTGTTTAATTGAATTATAATTTTACAAAATTTTTAGGATTTATTTTGAAGCATTACATAATGAGCTTAGTTCACCTAGTGAGATGGTAGTATTAATTATATATAGGATTAATAACATGGGTGCCCTCGTAGTTTACAAAAAGGTTATCAAAACTCCCTCTGTTTTTAAAATGTACTTTTGAAAACAAAAGATTTTTTGGAGAATAGTACAAAAGAAAATGAAAAATAAAATATTATATACAAAGTAAAAATAATAATAGTTTGAAAAAGGTAATGAAAAGAAATAAAAATATAAAAAATAGTCTTTTTCTTTAATTCCATATTTTATTTCATCTTTCTGTTCTTCATTTTTGAAAGTCCTTAAAAAATTATTTTACTTTTAAAAAACAAATAAGTTAGAATTTTTAATTAGAGATAGAGTGAGTATATATTATCTAATTTTTTATTTTATTTATTTTACTTTTACTTCTAATGAAAAAGTGTATTTTATTTAATTTTTGTAACATTTTCTAAAAAAAAATATTTTTTTGAAAGTTAAATAAATGAAAAGTTTTAATTTCAGAAAGAGGGCGTATATTTTATTTATTTGTATAACAAAAAATGTAAAGAAAGGGGTGAAATTTAAAGATAGAGAAAAACCAAAGACAGAAATGTCATTTCATGTCTAAAATAGGCAAGGGGGTGTCTGTGCACTATTTAAAACCACAGAGATTTCACAAATAACTTTTGAAAATAGAGGGTGTTTTGTGTGCATAAGAAATGCAATCCAAGATAGGGTCACAAATAACACGGGAGGCACCCATGTTATTACCGCATTATATATAGTAGTCTTTGTAGTTCAGCTTAGCTTCTTATTCCTAATTATGGTAGTTATAGTATTTTAGTACGGAGTAAGTTTTTATTTCTTATTTTTAATTGTTTTAGGAATAGTTACCAACCAAGTACAAAATAAAATTTAAAAAAAAATTGCAAATATGTTTAAAAAAGAATTTGCACGTTGTACCTTGTACATGCGAAAGTGGAGCTGAGGAATTCCTCCAATCCGCCGGTGGCCACCCCTACTTGCATCCTTCATAAAATACCTCTGACAAAATTCTTAGCGGAAATAGCCGTCATGTGTGCATAAGAAATGCAATCCAAGATAGGGTTTCTCTTGGCATACACCCGAAGATGTTCGTCCTCACGGTTCTCCCACATCTTGTCGTACTCTGCTAGCCACGAATTCCGATCAGTTGGTTCACGTACCTGCCGGCGTGCTTTACTTTCAGGCGAAGATGTGAATTTATGCCGTTCCCACTATGGCGTATCCTGGAATTGGGAACGCCGGTTTTGTAGCTACGCAATCGAGCAGTTCTCGGATGATGAATACGAATGCGACTATGAGAGTCATCTACGAGTAGTTAATATCCATTTGCCTAACTTCCACTCTTCTATTATTTATTGTTTTCCCATCGTTTGTGTTATCAGTTGAAAGACTATGTTTATTTTTGTAAGCTTTGAATTTTACAACTCATGCTTTTTTTAATACCCCGTAACTGAATTTTTGATGGTATGAATTGAGCAGTGTTGTCTCACAAAATTCTATTCTTGTTATAATAAAGTTGGATAGTAAAAATCATTCTCAAACATATGAATGGCGTTAACAATTACGGAGTATATATAAACTTTAAAGTCAATATAAACTGTGAAAATAGGCATTAGTAAAAGTGAGAATTAACTGTAGGCATCATCATCTGTGGCCAACATTGACGAGTGGAAATGGAAGCTTAGCTTATTGTTACGCGGCGAGGACCAAGAAGTTGTATCTAGAGATAAAAGAGATAGGCGAGATTATGAGCAAATATCTAATCTTGCTAAAAGAATGGGCCTGTACAGGTATCTCCTATCCTCGTATGCTTTCTTATTGTTTATGTTGCCCCAATCCCAGACAGTCTTACGGAATAGTTTCCTTTCTCTAGTGAAATATACGGGAAAGTAGTAGTCGTAAGCAAAGTTCCTCTCCCCAACTATAGACCAGATCTTGATGATAAGCGGCCCCAAAGAGAGGTAATTCAACTAATATTTGATATTAACTATCATTTGGTTTAGTCATTTTTTCATCTGAAAAACTGAAATGAAGGTGTAAAAAGTGTGTTGTCTAGGAATTGATGACCAAAATCACATAGATGAGATATTTCTGTGAAAAAAACAAACCAAGTTTAATTGTCCTGGAGATTAGGAAAGTGAAAATTGTAGTTGAGATTTATTTACGAGAAATATAAATGGTTTGAAGCACCAATTTCTTTCCTTGAAATGAAATGTGAAGTTTATTTAATGATATACAGAAAATGTAAGTTGGAGCATGGAGATTAGGAAAGTAAAAATTGTAGTCGAGATTTATTTTGAAGAGATATACTCCCTCTGTCCCATAAAGATAGGGACATATTGACTAAAGTGGTAAAATAAGGGAGAGATAATTTTGTGTTGATTTTACAAAAATACTCTTGATGTGATTCATAAAAGTATGATGTGATGTATAGATTATTAGGAAAAAAGTGTGATGTGATAGACACGGTATGAAAAAGTAAGGGGTATAACTAGTTTTTAATAGAAATGGGAATGACTTTTGGGTACACGCTTTTTTTGAAACGTGAAGGACTTTTTGGGACAGAGGGAGTATATGGTTTGAAGCACCATTTTCTTTCCTTGAAATGAACTATGAAGTTTATTTAATGATATACAGACAATGTAAGTTTGAAAAGTACAGATGGAGTACATAAATTTGAAAATCAGCTTTATTGGTCATAAAATGTTGGTACTGAAAATGCAGCTGTCTTAATCTTTCCTACCAAAATTTTAAAATTTTCAATGACAGATCTCTTTAAACAAGGCTATGCATATTGTCTAAGTTTGCAAAACATTATTCTTTTCAGCTTTACAAATATAGCCCGTGTTGAATTATTTCAACAAGATAATATCTGAAAATTATGTCAATTCAGGCAAAGGTTAGCTCTTACTGTACACTTGTTTAGGTAGTCATCCCACTAAGTTTACAAAGAAGAGTGGAAGGCTTGCTTCAGGAACATCTGGACCGGATCCAGCTTACTTGTGGGAAGTCAGATGGTAAACCTAGTGAAAGTGCATCCACTGATAAGGTTGAAAATGTATCCATGGATGAAAATCTGGATTCTTTCTTAGATGACTCTGTTATGGAGAAGGTTCTTCAGAGGCGAAGCTTGCGCATGCGCAATTTGCAGAGAGCATGGCAGGTTTCATTATATCTTCCCTCCCTCCGTCCCTAGGGTTGTGATAAAGTATCTCGTGTAGCATACACTTTTCTAATGTGTGCGACAAGTGAAAAAATGCTTGCCATAGAATTTTCAAATTGGACATTCTGATAAGTGTCATTGTCATAACTCATCATGCGCATTATGCAGTCTCTTTTGAGAGCTTTATTGACATCAATTATCAAGATGCATTAGCAATTATGATATGTGGTGTAAGACAAACTTGTCCTTGCATTTGCTGCCTACATTAAATATCACGGGGCTTTACTTGTCCAATTAGAAACTATTCATTTCTTGGTTGATTTCTTGTAGTCGTTGGGGGAAAATGTCTTTTCTTTCAATCTGTTTTGGCAATTTTGTCCTCTAAAAAGTTCGAGCATTTTTCTTATTGGTGGTGGATGCAGGAGTTTTTAGTTTTTACGAGTTCAAAGAAACTTAATTAATAAACATTTCCAACTCATCACTAAAATAACTCTAAGTGTGGTATAATACTATAGCTTTTGAACTTTAATCAGGTCAAAGTCTCCCAACTTCCTGCTACATTGATCCCTATTAGATCCTTTCACTTCTCAACACAAGGATTGTGGTTTTGGATGTTCATGTAATCTTTGCAGAAAGATGTTTAGATCTGCACAGTAAGGGCTTGTTCTCTTCACATAATTCGGAACCGACCGATTGGAATAAGTTTTGATTTGATCTGTTTGATTCTGAAATGATTGGAATAAGTTTTGATTTGATATCTGATTTGAATGTCGTTATATTTAAAGTTGTTTCTAAATTGTTCTGATGTAATTTGATTTAAGGGTTTGTTCAAAAAAGGGGAATATGAGTAAAATTGTGTCTGGAAAATGACTCTTAGAAAATGAAGTATTTTCCGGAAGCTATTTTCCTTTTTCTAGTGTTTGGTAAAACCTGGAAAGTTTAGAATTCAAAAGAAGAGAAAAACCTAGATGGTGGAGGGCGAGAGACAATACTCATGGTGATTGGTCAAAAACCCATTCCGTTCAACTTATTTTTTCTGCTTTTCTATTATACTTAGAAAAGTTTTTTTAATTTAATGATTATTTTTTTATGAAAAAAAGCATAAAACATCTGATCTGATTGGATCTGATTCGATCTGATCTGATAATAAGTATAGGAGAAAAGCAAAAAAATAAGTTGAACGGAACGGGGCCTAAGTAGCTCATGGCATGTTTCTGTGTGCTTATAAGCAAGTTATAAGTCGGAAAAAATAAGTAGGTCTTAGCTACTTATTTTTAAGCTAGTTTTTTTCGTTTCTCCGTTTTGACCAGATAATTTACAAAACTGTCCCTCACCACTTATGAATGCTTATAAATGATTTATCTATCATTTAAGTCATTTTATTTTTACAAAAGAATATTTGACTTATAAGCAGCTTATAAGTCGAAAATTGCTTATCAGTAATAGGCCAATAAACACTAGCACAGAAACGCCCCAAACCGACCCTAAACTGATTCCCATAAAAATAAGTAATAAGTAATAAGAATAAGTTGACGAGAACAAGCTCTAAATGTTGGACAATGTCTCAAGGATTTTAGCATTTATTAGTTACCTTCAATAGATATATGCATCATTTTCGTCTTTGGTTTCAACTTATGACTTATGCTTTACTCATTTAGTCATTCAATCCTTGTACATGGGGATTTTCCTGCTGATTGAATGCAGGAGTCACCCGAAGGCCATGAAATGATGGGTTTTCGAAAATCTCTTCCATCATATAAGGAGAAAGAAAGGATGCTTCAAGCAATTGCTTGCAATCAGGTTAAATACAGGACATGTACTATTTCTTTTGACTTGAGGCATGTTTGTTTCTTAGTTTAAATGTTGATTTTGCTCTTACCATAAGAGAGAATCACTTGAAGAAAAGTTCTAAACATCTTCTGATTGTAATGCGAATAATCTTCTATCAACCATTCTGTCAGTGCTTCAAAAAGATATCCCACTCATAGATGGATCTAGGAAAACTATAGCTGAATTATAGTGTATAGTTCCATTCTTAGAGTATCCCACTTTCTTTATCTTAGAGAGATAAGTTCTCAAAGCGCATGATTTGTAGGAGAGCTTTACTTTTATGTGGATTTGTACTTGCAACCCTAGGGCTTTACCACTGTTAAAGAGTATCCCACATCGGAACTTGAAGAGAAAATAAACCGGTATATAAGCCCTTGAGTTGAACTAACTAATCGATTGGATTCAATCTTTTAATGTGGTTCAACCCAAGTGTCTTATTACCCAATCCAGTTGTCCGTAGCCCATCCCAAATTCTATCATGGTATCAGAGCAGGTTTTGGCCCACCTTGTTTGTCAAGGTGTCCGTCTACACGTTCATTCCTAGCGGCCCGTTAGTCTTTAGCCCAGTTGTCCGTATGGAGTATGTACCCAACGGCCTGTGGCCCGTTTAACACGATTGCTCGTCTGGAAGTCCATACCCAGCGGCTCGTGGTCCTTTAGGTGTTGGCGCTCAAAAAAAGTCAAGGGAATGGGAGTTCATTTGGAAGTGGTCAACCGGTTAGATTCAAAATGACCCGTTTGTCCACTTGAGGGGGAGTGTTAAAGAGTATCGCACATCGGAACTTGAAGAGAAAATAAACCGGTATATAAGCCCTTGAGTTGAACTAACTAATCGATTGGATTCAATCTTTTAATGTGGTTCAACCCAAGTGTCTTATTACCCAATCCAGTTGTCCGTACCCCATCCCAAATTCTATCAACCACTATTAATAAGAGCACCCACTCTTATTTAATGTGGTTTTCTCCCTTTTGGGTTTCCAACTTTGGACATCTATCATCTGGCTCTACATTGGTACATCCACAGGATCCGTAGATCAGTGTGGGTCTACCCAGTTCGACCGATATGGAAGACCGCAACCCGGGTAATTGCCATCATCACCTAGGGCCTTAAGCATGACACTGTAGGGATATGTATTACGTAGTACATTAAAAAAGTTATTGTTAAGTACAATCAAGTCTCCTTAGCCCCTAAGCTTTTTGTGAATGTCATTACTATGAAGGAAACAAATGCATTGACTTTTAAACATGTATCCCTGAAATCTTTTTGCTTACTCTGTTACTCAACATTGTACTAGTGAGTAGATTCTGCGGTCTTGGTCTTCGAAACTTTTGTTTGCTTATTTAAACTTTTTTTTTCAACGGGGAACATACTATATTATCTTGATTATGAAAGTGTACTTGCATAATTAGAAATCCTAATTTATCTTTATTAATCCAGGTTGTGGTCATTTCTGGTGAGACTGGATGTGGTAAGACTACCCAACTCCCTCAATACATATTGGAATCTGAAATTGAATCTGGTCGTGGTGCATTCTGTAGCATAATTTGTACACAGCCTCGAAGAATATCTGCAATGGCAGTTGCAGAAAGAGTGGCTACAGAGAGGGGTGAACTTCTTGGAGATTCAGTATGCTACTTTTTTTTTAAAGTTCTTACATAGATGCTGGGTAGAAGTTCTCTTTTGTTTAACAAAGTGCTTTTAAATATCAGATCTTTTAGTTGGCTTATTTTTTCCAATTCGGATTTTTTTTATTTTCTGTCCTTCACAGAAACTTTTTGATAGGTTGGTTATAAAGTGCGATTGGAGGGGGTGAAAGGGAAAAATACACATCTTCTCTTTTGCACTAGTGGTGTTTTGCTCCGACGGCTTTTGAGTGACCACAATCTTGATGGAATTACTCATGTCTTTGTTGATGAGATTCATGAGCGAGGCATGAATGAAGGTAATAAGTTATTATATGTTGTCAAATCTTTATTTTTGAAGTGAAATTGCATTCAGTTTGGTTCTTGTTAACTGCATTAGTAAGAAGCCATTAGTAAGAAGCCATTAATACTACAAAGCCTAGGAATAGTATTACCTCATTTTAGGGATGCAGTATGTGTGATGAATTGATCTCATTATGTCGAGTTAGGTTATCTAGCTATGTATGTGTGTATTTGCTTTGATCTTGTTTGAATTGCAATAGAAAAAATGAAACATTATTTCCCTACCTATGAACCTCTTTCTACATGGTATCAAACCTTTTCTAATTTATAAACATCAGAATTTTTTCCTACCTGTTTCTACATGAAGTATTAATTTCTACCTATTTCTACGTGTTACTAGAGCTATGTTTAAACTATTGCCTAGGTATTTTGGTACTTTTCTATGGTTTTTGTATAATATATATTTCAATTTTTGGTATAATATATTCTGTATATTTAAAATAATTTGTAGACACAAACTTTATAGGTTGCCTTATTGTTGCTTAGGCGGATACCTAATCCATTAGGTGATGTGAAGGTCTGTTGGCGACTTGGTTCCTTGCCTCGTCGATGTAACAACCTTTATTCTCTTCTCCATAGAGGATATACTCGGGGTATGTGTTATTGTCTTTGCACCGACGCACTGTGCATGGTTTCATATGATGTTACTCCCTCCATCTAAGAATTTTCATCCCACTTTCCATTTTGGTCTATCAATTGATTTTCTTCTCATTTCCTTTCAAGGGAAAGAAGTTTGCCTTAAATGTCAAATTTACCCTTTCATTTTAAATGATAAGCTTTCAAGCATCACTTATCATCTTTCTTTTTTTTTATTTTTATTTTTTATTTTTAGAATAAGAGATACTCCGTATATTGTTGATAAAAAAAGAGATACAAGAGGTAGGGGGTGGCCACCCCCACAATTTAGCCCAAAAAACAGCATATCCACTTGAGCCACAACAGGGATTGAAGCAAGCTCGGAACAAAGAACAAGCGCATCCCAATCAATCAATTTTAAGTAATTGTCTCCCATTTTTTCCAGAAATTATCAAGGCCCAGCCTTTAAATTCTTTATCACTTTTCATCTATACTCCCACTATGCACTTTATTTAACACTATTCATCCCATGGTAAATGTGGAAAGTCAATGGGTTTTTTCATTTCTCATTAATAAATGTGCTGCTCTCATTAATATACCTGCATGACCTCAAACCAGGAAGAGAACTTTTGGACGGAAGGAGTACCTTTCATGAAGTAGTTCGTTTGAATCCTTCCCCTTCACATTTTATTGGGAAAATGATATCTTAATCTCATAGACCTTACAAAACTTTTATTAAGCATCTGTTGTAAATGTTAATCTTGATGGCTATATGGCATGACTTATAGCACATCTTGTAGCCAAATTATATGCTCAAGCATACATTGTCGATTTATCTGGCACTTTTTATCCAGTGGTAGGTTATTATCTACTAGCTTAATCTTCTCGTTGGCAAAGGTCTATGATTGGGCATTGCGTTATCTTGATATCCAACTATCCCAAATGCTTAATATGGCCCACCTTGAGGCTTTTTTCTAGAGTTGAAGCGCTTAGGCATGGGGTCGATGACTAGGTCTACAGGAAAACACATATGTCAGAGATGGTGAACACCATGGTGCGTGAGTCATAAGGTGATGTAAGGCTTAAACTTTTTTTTCTTCTAAAATTTTTAAAATTGCAGATAGGTACTTGGTCTCGGTGTTTATGTCTAGTTTTCCTTTTTTGGTCCACTTTCCGTTTCCGGTATGACTAAAACTTTTCAATTGTCTATTTTAACCCTAATTGAATTCTAGTATTGCTCCACATTTATCCTATACATCTCCATTCATTCATTTCCATACCTCTCCTCTATCTAAATTCTTCATCTTGCCTCAATCTTAGATCTCCTTTTCTCCCCCTATCTCCTCCCGTTCTGGACTATAACCAAAATCATTGGTTAAGATTCACTAAGATCAATTTTATTTCATGACTCTGAAACTCCAAAATCTGACCTTTCTGAAGTTTGAGAATAAATCTCCACCCCTACTCCAAAACCCCATGACGGTGAAACATCAAGAGTATATTTTTGTAGAAACCCGATTCAGAACCCAAACCCACCTTATCGAGCCCCACATTAAAAGACCATGTCTTTTCTCTGGTTCCACTTTCATCCTCAGTTACATTTGATATTTGTAGCTAGATTGTTGACGACAAGGGGGTCATAATTGGCTGTGTTTGGACAGTTTTAGAGAAGAGCATTTGTGTCTTTTTTTCTTACTTTAACGTTGGCCTTGGTATTTGTTACAAAATGATCATGGACGAAAACACCGGGACGGAGGGAGTATATGTTAGACCAATTATTTTTTCTTGTGACTTCCAATTAGGGTTTCTCTCCTAAATCAGCTTCATTCCTCAATGATGATCAGTGTTATTAATGACGCAAATGGCGCGAGCCAGATCTGCGCCATTGACGTTTTGCCTATCAAATGGCGGTCTACCTACCTATGGCAACACCATTTGTGCGCCATTGCCATGCCATCGCCATTCTTGTGCCATTTTTTTAAAGTTTTGCCCGATCCAAATCCAATAAGGCCCAATCAAACTAGGGTTTGCAATTCATATGGCGAGAAAGATTGGGAATATAGAAAATCCGGATCTGCAGTTGGGATCGCGATCAACAGATAATCGGGAAAAGAAATACCCAGCCCTTCTCTTTTGACGGAAGCCTTCTATAGTTCTATGCCACTGCTCTTTTTTTTGAGTGCCGCTACTTCTACTTTTAATTCGAAGCTCAATAGCTTCTAATTTCTCTTTCGGCCTCCAAGTTTTATTGGACTCAACTTGCTTTTAATTTTTTTGCCATATTTTTTTCTTCTTCTCAGATTTACTGGATACATATTTTACTATTTTTTCATTGAATTAAGTTGTGTTTGTAGATCCCTTCAAAGAACAATTATGTTTGTAGATCAAAATGTTTCAGATATTTAGGAATCAAATTTTAAATATTCTNTAGGGTTTGCAATTCATATGGCGAGAAAGATTGGGAATATAGAAAATCCGGATCTGCAGTTGGGATCGCGATCAACGGATAATCAGAAAAAGAAATACCCAGCCCTTCTCTTTTGACGGAAGCCTTCTATAGTTCTATGCCACTGCTCTTTTTTTTGAGTGCCGCTACTTCTACTTTTAATTCGAAGCTCAATAGCTTCTAATTTCTCTTTCGGCCTCCAAGTTTTATTGGACTCAACTTGCTTTTAATTTTTTTGCCATATTTTTTTCTTCTTCTCAGATTTACTGGATACATATTTTACTATTTTTTCATTGAATTAAGTTGTGTTTGTAGATCCCTTCAAAGAACAATTATGTTTGTAGATCAAAATGTTTCAGATATTTAGGAATCAAGTTTTAAATATTCTGTGACAAAAAAGCTTACATTTTCTCTAATCAAAACATTTGTGTTCTATTAATTTTTGTGTGTTATATTAATGGTTTCATATACACACACACACACACACACACACACACACACACATATATATGTGTGTGTATATGCATATATATATATATGTATGTATGTATGTATGTATGTATGTATGTATGTATGTATGTATGTATGTATGTATGTATGTATGTATGTATGTATGTATGAATGTATGTATGTATGTATGTATGTATGTGTGTGTGTGTGTGTGTCTACACACACACACACACCCACTAGTGTCTTGTGTTGACGCCATATTTGCTTGTGTTGACGCCATATTTGCGCATATATATACACTAGTGTCCTGTGGCGACGCCATATTTGCGCCATTGCCATCGCCATCGCCATATGATATTTGGCCCATCGCCATGCGCCATGACAACTTTGATGATGATCATTGCACTGTTGATGGCAAGCAAGTGAATTCGGCCACAGTTGTCGGCTTGTTGCCAACAACTAGGTTCAATTTTTCTTTTATTCATTACTTTTTAAATTTAGACTTATGTTGCACGCATTCTTCAATTAACTCCCCAAAACGTTCCCGATTAGGTACTTGGGGACGTCTCGGCACCGAACTCATTTATAAATTTAGGGAAATTGGTGTTTTCATGTTTCTTACCCCATTTGTGTAAGTACTAAGTACTTGTCGCCGTCTTTGTGTAACTTATATTTAGAACCTTATTTATTACTCATGCCCTAAAATTTTCTTCCCACTTTCTCTTTTGGTCCATTCTTTGTCTTTCTTCCCATTACTCAAAATAGTAAGGTATTAGTCATTAAATAAAATTAATCCCCCTCAAAATCTTTCTTCTCTTCCCTTAGAAAATGGAGCGACCTATTGTCGCTGCAGTCGACAACCATTTCAGAAAAACTGCCACATGACCAGTGAGTTATTGTGACCCAGATTAGCCCCCACGGGAAAGC